GTATTTGCATTGGTCTTAACCCATTTTAGCACCCGTTTATATGTGTTCTGAGTGAGCTCGACGAGGTAAGTGTCGAGACGCTCTCTACATCGCCCGCCGACCGCTGCTGAAAGGCTTCAGCCACCGTCCGCTTAGTCAGCCTCGGGGATCTCGGCGACGACATTTGTGCCAGCCGTCCTATAGCGTTCTCCTCCTCTTGTTCGTTCTGTATCCGGTAATACATTAAAAATAGATTTGTATTACATAACACTGCACGTGCGCCCTAGTAAAGGAGGAGCGAGAACGCTAAGGACGGATGGTTTAGGAGCCTGAGGGAAGTCCCCCCTTAGCCCGCTTTTGGAAGTGAACCCTACCCAAACGAGTAGCTGGGGCGCCGCAGCAGTGGTAAACCACGTGCGTGGACCTTGCCGAATATACGGCAAGGAACTTCGTGCTGTTGACTCCCCGTTGTGCTCGCAGTACTATAACCTAGTAGTTGTGATTTATCCTGTAGATAATGTACCAGGAGGAGCTACTGAGCTTTGGGACTCCCCATTGACAGTAGGAGACAGTCTGAAAAGCTACAGTTCTCTCAGCGTGATTTTTGATCCCAGTAAGGCTTCTACTGGGCCACATTTAGTGCCTCGACCCCCCCCCCCACTTTAAAGGAATTGTGTACATGAGGTTCTATGCGCTCTTGCGCATTCAGCGCGTACGTTATAGACAGTATAACCCTCGGTGTAGGGTAGAGGAAGGTCGAGACTATATACGTGCCGAGGTCCGGCAGATGCCAACCATGTGCACCTGCCGTTTTGGGCGGAGAATCCTGCCTTTTTGAGCACGCGCGAGAGCCTGGGGGGGACTTCTGCGACGCTGATACTAAACGGGTACAAGCCTCCATTAAAGACAGTTGCTCGTCTACTAAGTCTTTTTTAAGAGGCGCAGGATCAAGCCTATACGGGACTATGAACTGTACTCTTGGGGCCACTTACGAGGCTTTCGTCACTTCTGCATAGTTATTGTGGAGGGGACGCCATGAGAGGAGGGCTGAGGCCAGGTTCAAGGTATACACTTGCAGTAGTTTTCCACCGGGCTCTGTTCACACGTGCGCTCGAATAACGAGAGACTAGCACCGCCTGAACGCCAGCGCTTAAGATGAAAGCTGAAATTTCACTGACTGGAGCAGTAAGTGGGCAGACGAATGCGGCTCCGGAGTTACCGGACCACAAGCTGTTGTGGCTTAATGGCGTAGCGTTCTCGCTGTTCTCTGGCGCTGAGGTTTGAGTACCCTTGGGTCCCCAATAGGGCCAACACGCAGTATTGAGTCTTGACGCAGTACAGAAGTTCGGTAGTCATGCGGACATTGCAACTTGTTATGATTCGTACACTGAACATCTGGCTACGCATGTACATCATGAGCTTAATTTGTGTTGGTAGACTGGCAGTGTGAGATCTAAGGCAGGTGGATTGACAACGATGAAGAAGATCAATTCTACTTTAAACAATGCCAAGGGCCTCGAAGTTAGAGAATTTACAGTGCCTCCTGGGGCGGCGGGGCTAGTTTCTGAGCCGGGCGTCTGACCGCCTGCCCCTTTCTGTTCTTGTAGAAAAGAACATCACCTGGATAAAGGTGACACGAGTTCAGAGTGTGTTAAGCATTGCTTCGTGATACGAACCTTCGTCTTCCACAAACTGGCATTCATTATAGTTGTGCCACAACGCCTTGAACACGGGCTTGTCCGAGTAAGCGTAGTGCTCGCCGATGAAATTCCTGAGATACCCCGTCGCCTCCTCACCGTTGTCTAAGAGAAAGGCCACGTTAAGCCCGTAACCATACGATATGGGACAAGTACTTACACCAGGGCATCTTCGGGAAGAAGTGATGGATCACGTGGAAGTGTGCGACGTCGTGCAGGAAGAAGCGACCCCACCAGCCCATGAAGTTCCTGTCGACGGTGGCAGCGGCGCCTCGTTGGAAGTTCCATTCCGACCTGCGGTAGTGAGGTAGCTCCGGGTCCGTGTGGTGGAGGTACGTGATCATGATGAACCAGTGCGACACGCACAACCAGGGTATCCCGTAGAGCTTGACCACATACGAAGCCCCGTACGTCGCGCAGGCGGCCTTGACCAGATAGACCATACCTGCCATACCGATGTTCGAGATGATGACGACATTGCGCTGCTCCTTTGTGAAGATAATAGAGTTGGCTACAGTCGTTCCACGCTTCAGATGAAATCTAAGCGCAAAAAGATAGCACTCACGATCGAAGTGATTCGTCCATTTGGGGTAGTCCTTCTGGCCCGACACGTTGAACACTGTGCCTGGCGTCAGAGGAAGGCTTGCAAGATGGAATAGAGTTAAGCACTCACGCAAATATGCAGGGAACGCGAGAAGCTGCTGCCGGATCAACATGTACATAGTGTAAATAGGAGTATCGCCGAGGTACTCGTCATAATCGATCACATGTTTGTCGTCCTCCTGGGGTATTCCCAAGTCGCTCCTGGTCTTTGGAACATACACTTCATCTCGTTCCATAGATGCATGGTTGCTGTGGTGTCTGTGGTGCGAGATCCTCCAGCTAAAGTAGGGCGTCCACAGGCAGGTATGGGTAATCTGAAAGTTGAATAAGTAATAAGTCAAAGAAACTAAGTGATCGTGCCTTACAAATCCAATTATATCGTTAACCCACTTATGGGCTGAGAAGGCGCCGTGACCACACTATGGTTATAGGTTAATCCAACGATCGCTGCACGCAAACAGGAAGAAGGCCCACTTCATGCCCGATAACCCAAATGCCAGTGAATATCAGCCCCTGCATCCACCAGCTGCGCAAACATTATGTTGGTTCCGAATGAGAAAACATATCGATACTTACTATGCGACCCAAGCGAGCCAGCGCCCAGCTTCCGCCCCAACCGGGGTCATGAGAGACAGGACATCAACACGCTTGAATGTCGGGTCTATTTGGAGGCCTATCTTCCAGACGATCGCAGCCATTAGGAGGTCACGGATGAGGTACAGCATCGCCCTGGGAGTGTCTCTGACGAAGAGATGTGCAGGAATGGCAGCTCTAATTTCCTTCAGTGTCCTGCATATCACCCATCCGTTAGCTACCTTTATGAAGTAGAAACCACGGAAAAATCACCAGGGCATGGGCGTATACTCCGACAGATCATCCTCGCGAGAGGGCTTGGAGCGGGGGCAATTGACAGGTGCGCCCATGGTGTAGAAAGTCGCGAGCGGACGGGATGGCGGTCTGAGAGGCTCAGTTGCTGATCCTGCTTTATTCCCATTGCGACTGAGGAGGTACTTATAATTTGTAAACCCCGGTCCAGAGACTTGTCCTTGAACATGAAGGCGAGATTATCATGGAAAGGATGTTCGATCAGGCGGCGAAAGCCTTCTACAGGACATCCTGTTTACGGGGGTGCGTAAACTTAGTTCTTACCCCGATTAACGAACAGACTAGGCATGGCGTGTCCTCCGCCCACGCCTCGGTCCCTACAAGGAAGATGAAGAGAATCACTGGGGACTGATCCAGGAACTTTACGTCAAAGCAGAAGGTGATCTTGTTCGGGTTATGGACTCCCAAATGATATGAAATCGAGATGGGTGCAGCCGCGCGTCTGATATCTATTGGTGGATCACGGATTAGGGCGGATCCAATGCAACAAGCGGATGGAATTTACTGATATGGATTACGCGTTATAAAATGCCACGCACATTCCTCGCCTCCACAAGTCTCGAAGTCACACCTGCTTGACGACGCAGGAATGGCCGAGTACATCCCCACTCCTACTACAACGGACCTCCGATGCTTGGACCCAGAGTTACGTGACTTCGTGTCTATATTCCCCCAGACGATCGAGAACGCGCGGCGCGCTCAGGTCGTGGTCGACTTCATGCGAGCAATTCCTCCCAGACCGCATGAATACCCTGACGTGATAAAGAAAGATGTTTATCTTTCGGCACCTACGGCGGATATCTCGCAGCCGCCTACGGCTGTCCGTCTGTTTATTCCTATTCGTGCATCTGAAGAAGGACCCTTACCGGTGGTAATGTGGATGGTGTGTAGTTCCCAGATGACCTTGACACGAGAGCTGATAGATGTACTGGAAGCATCACGGTGGTTTCTTCTCGGCAGGCCCGCTTCGCCTGGATCCGTTCTGTAGTGCACTCGCAGCGGGTGCGAATGTAATCGTGGCTGCAACATCATATCGCCAGACCCCCGAGAACCCCTTCCCCGCGCGTACGTGATTTCCATATCTGTTTTCCACGCCACGAAGCTGTGGCTCATTCCGGCAACGCCGGGAAATTATAGCCTTCGAAGACGTTTACCAGGTGCTGTTGTGGCTCACTACTTCGTCTGGGGTAGCGGACTACTTCATCGATCCCACTCGCATCGCGGTCGGAGGCACGTCGGCAGGCGGTACCCTTGCAGTAGGCATCTGCCTGCGATACCGCGACGAACACAGTGCAGAAGCCACCAGAAGCGCTATCCGTCTCCTGCTCCTTGAAGATGCCGCGTTCGAGCTTCGACCCGCTTCATATTCCACGTACCATAACCCCGTCAATATCATCTGGAATGCTAACGTTACCAGGTATATGTGGGAGTTGTATCTCCCGCAAGGCGTGGATAATCTCGACCTGAAGATGAAGGGCTACGCTGTCCCAAGCTTGGCAACAAATCTGAAGGATTTGCCTCCGACAATGCTGCTCTGCGCCCAATGGGATGACTTAACCAACGACGCGATTGCGTTCGGGCACAAACTGCTTGAAGTGGGTGTGCCTACCGAGATCCACGTAAGCATCGACCTTCCTTCACAGAATCCGCCTAATCACAGTCTCCGTATTTGACAGAATTATCGCGGCACTTTCCATGTATCGGACAAGCTTCTCCATGACACCCAAGTCAGCGCCAAGAAGAGAGAAGACATTATCAACGCACTTCGTTATGCTTTCGTACAATAATCCGTTTGGCAGTAAACCCCCGGCACCTTGCTGCTCTCGATGGAAGTGCGATTGCCTACACCGTGAATCGATCCTTAGTTACAGAGGAAATGACACACCGCTCGGAATTCCTATTGAACCACGACTTTTTTTCACCGCAGACGGGGTTAAGCCGTGGCAGGGTGCAATGAATTGCGCTGTAATCGCCATCCGTCATTGCGGCTGCGAAGCCTAGATATTGATCTCCGACAGGATCTAGCGTCCATCGAGAGCTTGTGTACAGCCAGAATCGAGATCCGTTCGGCTAGATCAGAAACTATCCCGCGGATCTTGTGAGGATGGCAGAATTCATCGATGTCCTCGTTGCATGTATGTATCTGGGCAACGTACACTCGAGCCCATTATCCCAGTCAGAGAAATGCGATATCATTCCTTCAAATATCAGATACCGGCACCCATATAAGTGTACGCAGATAATTCCCTGCCGCACGTGTGTTCGAAGAAAGTCACGAAGTGTTCTAAGAATCGAAAGGGACAATACTTAACCACCCACGATTGCCGTAACACGGGAACACTGAAATGAAGAGGGAAGAGATATCTTTTCTCAAAACGCAGGTGCGGACGGAGGTGGTTCTCCGCGCTCCTTCTGAATCCAAGGTCCAGAGAGACTGAAAAAATAGGGGACGCCCAGACACCAGGAAGAAGAAACGATATCTCACATATCACCCCTCGTGCACGGCGCAGAGCTCGATCCGTCGCGCTCAAAGACACATTTGAATCCCGAGTCGTCAATGCACCCGCCTCAAAGTTGGCCAGTGCTGCACCTTCCGGATCTCTCGGATCTGTCCTCAGCTTCAGGGCTATGCTCAACCTGCCAGTCCCCACTGAAGCTAAAGCCCAAATGCCAGAATATGTCCATTATGCTCGGAACCTCTAATGTTATCGTGAGCTGCGCTATTTTCGTATCGAATAGAATCTGTGAATAGCGACTCCACCCACCCCCGGTCCCCCGATAGCTAGCGATGCAGAGCGCAAACAGTGGTACATGAGGAATCTTCCTTTGTTCGCAAAACTAGCTCAGGAAGGTTTACCATCCAGAGAATAGCTTCGAATCGCCTGTGCCACTCATCAGAGTGTCTTCTGCAATTTCCATAAACCCAACATCTGAACGCCCCTGTTGTGTATACATCGCCGCGTCGGCAGCTTTTACTATAGAAGGTCTGGGTCTCAGGGCCAAGCCGTGCTAACGCGGGTGTTAGTCTAGAGCAGGACGAGCCGGACACTGGACGAAATGCACGTACCTCTATCAGGGCGAAGAGAAACTCGCATGTAGGTTTCACGTACCACCGCTCGAATTTCTTGCCAGGCCGTGTCGGCTTTGCAAACCAACCCATATGCCCGCCACCGGCAGTTACCGCTTGAACAACCCAGGGCGATTGGAGAATCTGCAAGGATAACATTGAGAGTAAGGGCGAAAATCATTAATACACCGCAGCATACCTGACATATCGGGATGTTTTCCACCGTGACGATCGGATCGTCATTGCTATTGATAGCCAGACAGGGGATGGAGATGCGGTCGACGACCCTGGAAGAGCTAATGGCCGAGTAGTAGTCCATGTGGTCTTTGAACCCGTAGAGCCGAGTGGTAATGACATCGTCGTATTCCCTCAAGCGCACGTACTTGCGGCTGAGGAAGTGATCCAGTAGTGCCCCGGGTAATGGCGAGCTCGGGTCGGAGTAGAAAACCTTCCGATGCCTGCCCAGGAGCGCCTGCAGAGCTCCACCTAGCACAAAATCGTACACCCATCTGTTGACCCAGGAGCCAAACTCGATATGGGGCGACCCCCGTGCGAAGTCCCACACGTTTGCCAGGCTAACGACGCCGCTGAGGGGGCACTCGGGACCTTCTTCGCCTACGTATTTGGTCAAGGCGTTGGCACCCAAAGAGAACCCTGCGGCGGTGTATAGATGGAGCTAGGTCAGACTTAACATGATGACATACCGAGTCCAAATATCAAAGATTGCGGAAAAGTATGGCAGATCCAGAGCACGGCGCTTCTGATATCGTCTGTCGTGCCAGCCTGAATCCACCCCAATGAGATGCCCGAAGAGTATGAAGGAAATGGCGGCGTACGTGATACAGTTTCGGAGACGTTACGGGACACCCGTTGCACCCCCTGGAGTTGAGGACGACTGCGCGGAAGCGGCAACCTTGAGGTAACGTTGGAGCAGTTAATGCAGCTACTGCTGCTCGAACATACGACTCATGAGAACCACCTGTGAGACCATGGGTTACCAGTAGAATCGGTTCTACAATATGGCTGGGTTCCACGCTAAACGGCGGAGTGATGTCCAAGGCTAGAGTACCTGCCAAAAATCATGAATGTTCTGTAGAGCCAGAAGCAGAGGTGACTCCACCTCCGTCAGGCACGCGTAGTATTTTCCTACAAGTTATCGGTTTGTTCAGCGGAATCTGAGTGTAGGAACGAGCGCAATTCACCGCTCGTAGACTACCGGGTCGACTAGAGTGAAGTCGCCCACGGAACAATACACTGTTTGAGCATTACCCCTGGTGAAAATCGTTGTAGTGTGTCCAGACGTCATGCCACACAAGACCGACATACCCTGGTAGCCACCACACCGATCGAAAACTGGAATCCGGCCCGTAGAGGGACGTGACTTCAGTTTTCACAAGGTCAATCAGCGTGAGTCCAGACGCATGCTTGACAGGCTGGGGCGCTGTATCTAGAGGAGCCGATGTTGCGGAGTGAATGAGCTTAGTTCTTAGGCCCAATGTCCGTCGTGTCCAGGCCATTGATAGACCAACGCACAGGGCCACTATCCCAGTCAACGTTAACGCCGCCACCAGGCTATTATACCCAGCGAAAGACATTGTAAGTTGTACTGCTGGGGCAAGTTTCGTGACTCCTAGTCTGAGGGTTAGTGTTTTCTAACACCACAGTGGCTGCATAAAATTCAACTTGATCTCTGTCCGCAGCAGCTCGGACGGCGATAGTGCGAGCACAGGCACGAGCACTAAACAAGACGCCCAGTACATGCCGGACCGCTGATTCAGTGATAGAGTTCCATTTCCCCGGGCATCGAAAAGGTCGTGTAATAGACGCAGGTGCCAAAATTAAGAATTGCAACGTCAGTTGACCGATACAGCAGTGCGAGAGCAGAGAAGTATATGCCAGCAAGGGTCACAACCACGTTCTCGGAAGCATCCGGATCCAGGGCATTAACGATTTGCTTCCGTTAAAGCCACCGGACACCGTTGTGTGGATCATATCAGGTTTCCTTTCTTCACGGAATCCTCGCTGCAAGTCGCATCAGGACATGTTTGTAGATGAAGTCTCTGAATACGGTCTGGTACTTCCTATCTCACGTCCCAATTACCCTCGAAACCTTTCTCCGTTATTCTGGAGTAGCGTTCACGTTGCACGTTTCTTACTTATAAGCATGTTGTGGCCGCTGCCCTCCGTCCGCCCATCCTATCACCAATCGCTTGGAACACGATGGGCATTTTTCAGAACGGGCTAGAATATGAGAGACGCAAGATAACCGACTTTGCCCCTCCCAAGGTCAGATCAGCCTGACCTAATGTTGTATTCCTGCATAACACTGCATAACACTGTTTACAGGTGACTCTGGCGGAAATCCACGCCGCGGTACCCAAGCATCTCTTCCAGAAATCAACTCGCAAGGCCTTGGTGTATGTCGCCAGAGACGTTTTCTTTGCGGCGCTCTTTTACTATGCCGCGACTTACATCGATCCCGCATGCCGGGCCTTGGATACGCGGTACGAAGGCCATCATCGTGCGTTCGTGCTGCTCCGATGGACACTGTGGAGCGTCTACTGGTTCTGGCAGGGAGTAGCCTTCGCGGGATGGTGGTGTCTAGGTCAATAGTCCCAGCCATCGGCGGTACAGCGCACAACTGAATAGCTATTGGACCACAGGTCATGAAGCTGGACATGGTACTATGTCCCCGCACTCTTGGGTTAACCATCTTCTTGGCTTCACGCTACACACGGTTCGTCTCGTCCCCTTTGCTCGAAGAAAAATACTAAAACCCACGGTACTGATATAGGCAATCCTTGTCCCTTACTATTCATGGCGATCGACGCATCATGCTCATCACGTGAGCGCGCCCCCGGCATTACTGGAAAGGCATTAACGAATTATTGCACAGAAAGCCACAGGGTCGATGGAGCGTGACGAGAACTGGGTACCTCGCACCAGGACAGACTACCAGCTGCCACCCGAGGGCACTGCGCATGTTCTGGACTACCATGACATTTTCGAAGAGACCCCGATTTATACACTCGTCCGCATCGTTTTCCAGCAGATACTCGGATGGCACGCGTACCTGACTTACAATGCTCTGGGTAACAAGATGTTATATCCAGAAGGTTTCCAGACAAATGTGGGTGTTCGCGCATGCCGTTGGCAGGATTCGTTAAATTCAGGCCTGGGTGCAGCATTTCATCCCGTCTTCGCCTCTCTTCAAATCCCATGAGCGTCGGGATGTCATCATCTCCGATATCGGCCTTCTTGCTATGATAGGCATTCTGTACTACTACGGCACACAGGTAGGACTCGTGAACTTCATCAAGTTTTACTTCATTCCGTATCTGGTGGGTAGAAAGTTTCCTGGTGTCCGGCAATCGCTCACATTGTGTACACAGCTCGCGAATCATTGGATCGTCATGTTAACTTTTCTGCACCATTCGGACCCTACAATTCCTCATTATCGCGGAAAGGAGTGGTCCTTCCTCCGAGGTGCAGTCGCAACTGTCGACAGGCCGCTCCTAGGCTGGATCGGTCGATTCTTCTTGCACAATGTGCGTATCACTCCCTCCACCCACGTCTGACATTCATCTGATCTACCCTTCCTGATAGGTGTCACACGATCACGTCGCACATCATTTCTTCTCCATTATCCCTTTCTGTGCGTTGTTCACGGACGCTTTGCGATAGCGTCGGATTTCTCACTGTGCCACAGATAATCAGCCAGAAGTGACTGAGCGCATCAAGGAAGTGCTCAAGGATGATTACAACTATGATTCCACTGTAAGCATGGCCTCGCAGCTCATGATGTGCTACCGTCCTTATCTCATCTATCCTGCAGAACACTTTCTATGCCTTGTATCGCTCGTTCAGCGAGTGCTGCTTCATCGAGGACGAGGGTGAAATTGTTTTCTACAAGAACAAGGACGGCGTCGCGCAGCGACACCTGGCCAACAACGCCATAGGAAGCGACTCTGGCTACAGCAGCTCCGAGAACGAAGGGAGTGACAAGAAGAAGGATTGATGACGTCTGATGTGGAACGAGCATCGCGAGAGTGGAACGTCCAAGGCCCGGCCTATGTCTCCGTTTCATTACACTTGTATGGCTGTACTCATATAGGCGCGGGCAATAGAGATGATCTTTCAATTGAACCCGCGTGACAGTAGCTATCTTGGTTCCAGTGGGAATGGGCTCGGCACGGCACTCCCAGCCGTGCACTGTGCAGACGGGACTCACAGTGTACGCAGGGCCCACCAGAGGGTAGCTCGTTGCTAACCTCTTCGAACGAATGGAGAAAGCAACATTTACTAGTCTTATCAGAGAGATGGATTGGGAAACCGATTCAACTCTTTGGCCGACTCCGCGAGCATCGGGTTCGGCCCTTTGGGCTGCATAGGTAAGATCACCTCCATGGTAGGTGGGTCCGCATGGAACGCAAATGCCTTTCACCGCACTCAAGGCCGGAGGAGCCATAGGGATCCATCTCGGAGCCAGGCACTCAACTACCTCATTCTACTACCCATCCACTATGGGCGCGTTGTTCCTTGTTGGCCAATGACGAAAGGGACGGGCCCTTCGACTCGGAATGTTGTAACCCCCAAAGGCCCCTTCACCCATTCTTCTAATTACAGGTGAATATGTACTGGCGGATACAATCCGGTAGTTACCGAGTTATCCTTTGTCGAGTTTTGGAAAGACAGAAACGATACTTCTTGATAAACATACGCTCGGGACCAGGGCACGCGGTTTAATAATGGTCTAGCGTTTAGTGGGTCGACAAGCTTCCCGAAGGACAAGCAACGGAGGCTTCCTTGGCGGATGACTCAGACTCCTATCAGCCAGAACTTTATATAGCATCACCAAACCCGCCAGAAGCAAAGCCCATGAACTCACTACTTATCAAAGCAGACGCCACGAAGCTGATACTTACGACAATAGACGGACAGGGCAGGACACACCGGGCTGGCGCCTAGAAGGAGCCATCGGTGATTGGAAATTATATCCTTCCTGAGGCATCGATAGCGTTGATGCGATCCTGGCTCGTCGGCATAGAATACACCGGGAGTACCTCTGGGACCTACTTTAACTGTCTCCCAAGGCACGGAGCATCAGGGCTCCGATGATGGGCGATTACAGAGTACCAGCAAAACCTGCCGCAGCTCCTGCTGCGCACGCAGGAGCAGACTGAAGCGCCAACGTCCTGGGATGATTTGAATTTGGTGGTCCTGGTGACATTGTTGGTTTGCACGTCCGCGAGAACCATCGAAAGCAAGGCTTGTGTCGCTTGCAGAATCTACTTCGTCATCGCATCTGTCTGGCCACTGCCACGAACAATGGGAGAGCCGATCCAATATGACCAACATGGGAGTTCAGAGCAGAACCGTGGTGCAGGTGAACTCAAGCCGTGCCACAATGAAGCGGCTCAGTCATGATGTTCCAGAATATATCATGCTATGTGATCTACATAGGTGATATTAGCACCTTCGGGGAGGATCAGGGAGGAAGTCGGGAAACAGGGAGTCAAGTCGCAGGAAACCTGCGGAGAATTGAAGTATGCGTACCCTAACTCTGGATTCAAATGTCACTTCGCCGGGCTGGTTAGTCTGAGCACCGTTCCGAGTATTGGACGGAGCGGGAGCTATCCCCGATACCTGCCGCATTGGGGAACATGTCATAATTATCATCCGTGAGGCTTCGAAAAGAAGCTACAGGTGGAAGAGCTACAGCCACATACCTACTTGCTCAAAGTAATAGCTCCTTTCATGCAGCGGCCATTGGCCTCACACGATTCGATGAGGGAAATGAGAAGAATGAATGTTGGAAATATCTATGGAACACAAGTCGATGCATACTTGACCACGCAGTGATACCAGATTGTAGTATGAAATGGATTCCGTGACGGTACCGAGGTAGCATGGTATCATTGGCATGCCGAGCAACAAACCAACATAGGACCGTAATTAGACAGGGTCATCCTACGATGTGAAAAATCAGTACCAACCTAAGCTATTACTGACCGCTTGATGATCAAGCACGCATGCCACAATCTTTCCACAATGAATCCATCTTTTATATACAGCCATTTGCTTGGGTGACCTATACCGTTGGATAGAGTGGTGGAAGCTCGAGTCCTTCATATACATGGACGTCAAGTCCATCGTCCGTAATCTGTAAACGGAGCGCATCAGCAAATCTACGGCACAAGAGGGCGGCATATGTATTCACGTTCCAGCCGATTAATCCGTTAGTCGACGATACACCTTGGATGTGGAGCGGAGGTGTCATCACCGTCTCGCGGTATGGTAGGTAGGAGATAACGTCTTCCTGAAAGATATTGTCCGCCTCAATAACAGTAGCACCTTCGTGAATGACACTTCGCTCTCGGTGATGGCCATGGGGCATATGTGCTGTGCGAAAGATGTCCCGGGCATTGCCTGTAGGGTTGAAATCCCAAATCCGATCAGGCCAGATGACTCGGTACCCGTGGGTGGTGGTTGCATGGTGCATGGTCAGATCTCTGAACCAGCGCGACCGCCTCGGACCCCATTCGCTCCATGATACGTGTGAGGGTCCATTTGAAATCTTGCTCAAGCTCGGAGAACTGGGCAGAAAAGTGGATAAAGGGGTAAAGATATCGAAAACACGTTGACGGCGCTCTTCTCCGGGGTGGGGGATCGATTCGACGACTCTCATAGTAATGTGAATCACGGAATTCAACCTCGAGGTCCCAAAGGGAATCCCGAGACGTTCTTCTGAGCCGGGTAATTTGTGGTGTCTCCAGGAGGTATCGCCTGTTATCCGGATTCTTGCTACGTGCTGCGGTCGAGGACATGGAAGTTCATATGTCGCGATCCGGGTAGGAACAGCTGCGCCTCCGCCTTCTTCCAGCGACGTCACATGGTCTAGCGAATAGACGTCAACGGCTGGAAGTCGGCCGGGATAGCGCGTAACCGACGCAACCAATAGCCAGCGAGGGGAAACGAGATGGAAGTCACGGAGCACTCTGTCCGCTGGCTGGGGGAGCCTCTGCACCAAACGTGAACCACGGAGTAGCACGACATACATGGCGCGACTGGCTGCTTACCATTTTGACAATTCCACTTGTCCATTCTAAGATCACCAGCTCTCATTTGTGCGCGAACCTACGCGTGTATACAGAGAGTGCAACGACGTCACCATCCACTTGCACGGACGTGCATAGTGGCATGTCCCAGTCATCAAACCCTACCCGGACAGGACTTAGGGCAGCACGAGGATGAATAGTTCCGTGCGTGAGCGAGAGAAGAGCGATTTCCAGCGATGACCTATGCCGAACATCTTCAGCGAACGCCGTTACAAGCCCTGAAATCCCCTTACTCTTGCTGCACCGGGACTACATGAAGTAGCACAAGTAGGTCTTGCTCCGGGTCAATCTCACAGTCAGTACTGAAGTCGAAGTCCGTATGCACGGTCCAAGACCGATTTTCCGGTGAAATGATGTCCAACACGTCCAGGCTATGGAAGCCGGGGCTTGCGTCTGTGTTCAACCGCATGAACATGCCGCGACTGTATTTGCGATAATCACCATGGCCAATAATAGGCATTGTACGCGAGACACGCAGGTGAGGCCCCTTCCAGGCGTCCTGGTGTTCATGGAGCAGCCGTAGGCGCTCTTCGGTGGAGGACGGATCGAGCGGATTATCGACGTACCCCGAAGCACCCAGTTCGATGATGTACTGTAGGCTTAAGGAGGAGCGAACGAGCCCGTCAAACTGCTTCGACACCTGGGGATTAATATTAGAGGCTTCTCCGTTTTCAAAGGCCGAGCATCGTGCGACATACAGACTGGACGTTGAGAACGTCTTCGAAACGCAGAAAACTGAGGATGTGGATCAGGAGCTCCGAAGGGAGGTCTTTCAGGGTTGTGACCATGATCGTACGCAGCACCTGTGTCCCGAATTTGGCCAGTAGGAGGACGACAATGAACTGTGGAATCTACCCGGAATGCGCGATATTAAACCGAACCTGACTGTGCCTTGTATTCCGTCTATTTGGATAGCATCTGTATGATGAAGGTGCCGTTCGGACTGGGGAAGGTTTCGAGAGGTGCTGGATTGAACTGGCGAAGTGGCGTGAAATCAAGATGGTCTCTATTCACTGTGGCATAAGATTTCTGCAGCGGCCAGAAAGTGGCTGATATGAGTGCTATCAATTGGATTTTTCAACTTCCAGGATCGAGTCCGCAGCGCCGTAGAAGGTTCGTGTTCGGAATGCGCAGTTACGTATTGTGGTAAGCAGTGCCGCAAACCGCCGACAGATGTAGTGAACTAGTGATCATAGTACAAGTACAGAACAAAGTTTTAGATATCACACAACTGGATATGCTCGAGGTTAGAGGTCAGCATAAGCGGCGATCCTAGAACCGGCAGGTTAGCTCTGCTTCTTCTGTCTTTCTTTCCTAGCTCTAAGTGCCCGCCCTACACGGCTGGCATTCTGCCTGTTCAGCTTCTCACTGATCCACCAGCCGATATCTGCAATTGCCTCCAGGTCCACACTTTTCTCTGTCCGATACTTGCTGTCTTGGATGGAGTACAATATATCTTCCGTCGCGACATTACCAGTCGCTCTACATGCAATTGATGAGTTTCGACCTTGAATGCCCAAGCAGGACATGACGTACCCTGGGGAATAAGGGCATCCGCCAAGCCCCCCGACGGAGCTATCGAGAGTGCGTATGCCAGCCTCCAGCGCGGTCAGGGCGTTGGCGACGCCCATACCGTAAGTATCATGGAACTGTCAAAGACAAGTTCAGTCGCCTCCCGGATGCGGTAAACAATCTCTAGAGTAACCTACATGACCCTAAAACAAACAGAAGTCAGAACTCGAGTAACAAACGTGCTCGAGGGCACTCACAGCCAGCCTCTCCACGGGAAGCGCACCCGCCACAACATCAAGCATCGCGCCCACACTCGCCGGGTTCCCCACGCCCGTCGTATCCCCCAAACTGACTTCATAGCACCCCATCTCCAGCAACTCCCTGCTCACATCCCGCACCCGGCGATAATCCACCTTCCCCGAGTACGGGCAGGTGATCACGACGCTCACGTACCCGCGCACCCGCAGCCCCTTCTCCCGCGCCTTCTGCGTCACCGCCGCGAGCCGCGTCAGCGACTCCGCGACCGTGCAGTTGGTGTTCGCGAGCGAGAACGCGTCCGTCGCGGCGGTGAAGATGGCGATTTCGTCGGTGGGCGGGATGGTGGAGGTCAATGAGCCGACGGAGTGCGCGGTCGTGGCGGAGAGGAGCTCGAGCAGGTTCTCGAGGCCTTTCATGTTCGGGACGAGCACGGGGTAATGTACACCGGGAAGCTTCTCCATGCGGGTGATTACTTCCGCAGTCCCAGCCATCTAAGTTCAGGAAGTGCAGTCAGCTTGGACCGTTCAATATTTTGTAACTCATGGCGCTCGAAGTCTCATAATACGCTGCACCTCCTGCTTAGCCTGCCGTCCGCCGTAACCCAAGGCCCCTAACTCCGTCCCACCCGCCACACGCTATCCAAACCCAAAGACTCACCTGCGGCACCCACTTCGGACTGACGAAACTGCCCGCCTCGATAATCCGCATCCCCGCCCTTCCCAGCCGATTGATCAGCTCGACCTTCACCTCCGCCGGCACGACGCCCTTCTCGTTCTGCAACCCGTCCCTAGGCCCTACTTCGACAATCCGGACGACGTTCGGGTCTCTCTTGGACTCGGTGCGGTAGGTGCGGGATGTACAGGCTCTCAGACTGGGATTTGTGGCTAGGCACGATCGGAGTGGGTGGGGAATGCGTTTGCGAGCTACGGACAGTGACACGGACATGACTGGCTCAAGGCGCTATGAAGGGATGCGAGGCTCAGGCTCGACGGGGACAGAGATCCGTGTCGAGTTTAGCCAGAGGTCACAGGACCGGTGTGATCACCTGAGGGGACGAATTCATACCACATTTGCGCAATGTTACAAGCTCAAACATGTCGGCAAGCCTGCGTAGATCAACACTGAGCAAGGGTAGTATCCGAAGGTCGATTGGCTGTAACTTGTGGTAGAGAGAATGCATGAACGAGCAGGAAACCAGGAAACAGGTCCAAGGAGTCGTGAGAATAACATACGACTTTGAGCACGCATATGTTTTGTAACGAATCTACTTCGAGCTACTCACGATCATCAACAGTTCACGAACGTTCACTCCCCACGGTAGGAGACGTGAACACAGGAAGAGGGGGTTGAGCATGGGGAAAGTCACGAACTTATTGTTCCTGAATTAGTCTGCTTTTATTGAATAACGATAACGACAAGACTGAAGGGGGGTGGGTACTGAGGCGGATACGATACAGATGTTGGAGCACGATAAAGGGTAGGAACATATATGAGGCATGTCAGTGATGCGTAGGTTTCTTCCCTGCAATGCAACCGGTGGTCAGTATGGTCGGGGACGCGCGGTTCCCAGGCATAGATGAGCTACGCAGTGGGAGAGACAGGAGAACGTACCGTCGACAAACATATTCCTCGTAGCTGACGGCAACTGTGCGGTCATCCCATCCAACTCCTTCGTCAACCGCACCTGACACCCCAGCCTGCTCGTGTCCGTCAAGCCGAACGCCATATCCAACATATCGTTCTCGTCATCCGAAGGCTCCGGCAGGAGGTCGTAATGCCCTGGTGAGAGAATAACATGGCACGTCGAGCACGCTATGGAGCCTTCGCAAGCACCTTGAGGAAAGAAAGAGAAGCAGATCCATCGTCTAGATTACCGCCGCGACACCGGAGGAGGAAGACGTACCCTCCAGGTCAATGTCATGCTCGTGGGCGATTGAGAGAAGATCGTCGCCTTCATTTGCTTCGACTGTCTTGATATCGTTGCCCTTCGCATCTTTGAAATGCACCTTGATCCTACGGAGCGCCGCGCGTCAGCCCTTATCTCCCTCTGGTGAGTACGAGCAGACACCCACCCCGTCCCGGGCTCAGGCCGCGTGATGTCGCCGTGCCGTACAGCTGTCGTACAAATCAGTCAGAAAGAGGGTCCGCTTGGGTTCAAACACTTCATTTCGGATAGGTAGACGGACAGGGAGACAAGTTCACCTGAAGTCGTGTGGATTTGTCGGGACCTGGGCAGGTAGAGATTTCGAGAAGGACTGGATATCCGCCGCCGCTGCTCAAACCGGCAGGATGACGAGATCCAAGAGGTAATTTGCCTTGCCTTCTGGGCTTGAGTTCGACATGTTAGGTGCGAGCTCATGGGAGGCAGAGACGTGAGAAGTGCCCGCGCAGACATGTCGTCAGTTGCTGGAATATGCCTCGCGGATAAGAAAGACGAGAACACAAGTTGATGTCGAACTCGAGGAGCTTCGCAATGACCGTGCCGAGTCAAGAGCAGCTTACGCCGCCAAAATTCATGGCAAGCCGTCTTTGCCGGGCGCGGGGTAGGGTCACGTGAGGGACGCGTCGGCACGTGGGGGGCATTGCAAGATTCCGTCGAAAACAAAGCAACGCCACGACACGCAGTCTCGCAAGCTTGCCCGTAGCAGCACGGCTTGACACTTCCAACGCCGCCATAACTGCAGCTTCTGATTTATGCTATACCCTCTAACTCCGAGCCAACGGCTCGACATCGTAAATACAGGTCGGTGCGCAGTAATCGGGGCCCCTTCTGTAGGAGATCTCGAAGTGCGCGCAGCACGGTGCACCCCGAGACCCTTGCCGGAAGGGTACATACGCAAAGCCCCTATGTGGGCGCCAACCCGATGTAGTCGAGCTAATCAGAATTCTCCGCAAAGGGTTCAACAGTGGGACGCGTCGTCTGTATCCCCCTGACACTTCATGGGGCGAACAAAATCTTATCCCTCGACTCTCTGATTTGTTTCTTTGCGTCTGAAGGAACAGTCGGTTCCAGAGTGCAAATCCCATATAACCATTAGGTTCTTCTGACACTGGAAGTACCCGAGTCTTATGTACATGTTTGTTCGAAGCTTATCAATCTCGTCTTTTCAGAGACGTGATTGACTTTCGACCCTCTACGAGTACCTCATCTCTCGGATCTTCGTCAGCCGCGAGCCTTCGGGTGCTGGCTAGCTCACCCCTTCCGTACTGCACGGAACGAAAGTTTATCACAGGTCATGTCCCCGCCAACAGTGAAATCCAGGAAGTATCAACTCATCTCCGTTAATCTCACATTTTTTGGGACGTGATTGACTACCGACCCCCTAGATATTCCTCTCGGGTAGCTTACTCAGTCCCGATCCTTCCAGCGCTGTTTATCTCTGCCTACGACCCGCTGACTTCGCCCTGGAGTGTTATTCAGAATCCCCATACGGTATAACCACCTGCTTAACCTGGAAGTACCCGTCCTTACCTACATCCGCGCTTGTGCGAAGTCTGTTAACCTCACCTTGCTGAATGCAGCTGCTCTTGGGCTTCTAACCCTACAAATGCCTCTCCTGTTGGACATCTTCTTGGACTGCGGGCCTTTGAGTTCCAGCGCTGGAACATCTCTGCCTGCGACCCAAAGACAACCCCTCTGATCGAACTTGAAAGAATGACATGCGGTCCCGATTGATCGTGCAGTTCAGGAACTGTCCGTCCACGGCGCTATGCTTCTGCTCGTCCGAGGTATGTCGCCAGACGCCCGACATACTTCCATCGACTATTGTCCACCTTGAAATGACTTGTCCTGCTTTCTCGGGTACCTTGCCAAACCCTGGTCTAGTGGCGGCCGCCGCGCTGCTCATTCTCTGCACCCCTCGCCTTGTCACGCGGCTCAGTAAAGGAAACCTTTCCTCTCGACGACGCCGCGCCTCCATGGAACCGCCTTACTCGGCTTGACTCCGTGCGCAACAGTCCTCCCACTTGCCCTTCGCTCTGACGGCTGGTTGCCGGCCTATGCCGTCCACGAGCTGCTCTCAAGCTTTATGTGGGCGCTCGACAACGCCATCCATCTTACCCAGCGATTTCAGACTCAGCTTATCATCGCAGGTGATACTCCTGCTCTTTTGTTTTCTGTCTGTCAACTATCATTCCCAGAGTCACCTGCGTTATGACATTCCGCGTACCGACATACTGACAGCACCCGTGTATCTCATTCCATATGGTCCGGCGATACCACACCCGGGACGCTGGCTGCCCGATATATTCTGTCAATCAGGCAAACGACTTGCGCTGATGTGATCCCAACTGGGCTCGATTCGCGGGGAAATGTCGCACTTGGTGGGAATGCCCCAGCTGGGACCTACAGCGTACTATCTCCCCTGCGGCGCGCGCTAAAAACGATGCGCATCGTTTCCGACACCTGGGGTCAAGCAGTCATCTCAGCCGGGTGTTGTTGATGTATCTAAGGAAGACATACAGCCTGTAGTGCCGATGGGGTACTGGCAGGTGTCCGGCGAGCCTTTGGCAATGGAGTCCCAGGTACACCCATACGTACGACAAGCTTGAAGAGACCCCGTCCTTGACCGTGACGCCCTTTCCTGTTTCAAGACGCTATATAGCCATCGCTAGGGCGACCAAACGAGTCTAGTAATCCATCATCCTCTTGATTGAAGCTAACGCCTCAAAGCAGCTCAAAGCTCGATCGTGAACGTGCGGCTTTAACTGACCATGCCTGTTGGAGAAGAAGAGCGCTCAGAGGCGTGCGGGGAAGCGGGCGTCGATTTCCACTTTTGGCAAGGGTGTAACGAGATGCCGCGGCCGGCGCGCGCCCGTCGCACGACTCGATCAAAGCTGCCGAGGTGTTCCCGCCACAACGCCGACGACTACATCGACTTGGATAAATTGCGAGTGCGTGCCGCGCAGGTCGTACGCATTATTGCCTGGATTTTGTGGCTGAAGCTTGGGATATTGACCGGACTGCAATAAACAGCGGGCTTCTTGTCGTCGTAACAAGGGCTTCCAAGCCGACAGGAATTCCATCAGGAAGCTCGTGATCACCCCGCCCGTCCTGTCCCTGCATGCATGGCTCTGTTCTTATCTATGATGTCGAGTACAGTAATAGCCACCCGCCCACATAAAGCTCGCCCATTCCGTTTAATTTCCTCGAGCCACGGTGCGCACGCCCCTCTGCTCTCGCTGACGCCGGCCATGTTGTTCACTCGCTCCTTCCTGACCCTCCTTTCTCTCGTGGCCCTCGTCGCCGCCGATCCCCTCATTTCCCGCCACGTCCTCCACGAAAAGCGCGCGCACACGCCCGCGGGCTGGGCGCGCTCCCGCAAGCACGATGCCGCCGCCGTCCTCCCCTTGCGCATTGGCCTCACGCAGAGCAACATGGACAGGCTCGAGGAGATGTTGCTCGAGGTGTCCGACCCGGACTCGCCGAGCTTTGGCAAGCACTGGAACGCCGGCAAGGTCGCGCAGACTTTCAAGCCGAGCGATGAGACTGTTAGCACTGTCCACGAGTGGCTGAAGACGTCCGGTATCCATCCATCCAGGATCAGGTTGACCAAAGCCAAGACCTGGATTGAAGTCAATGCCACTGTTGAGGAGGCCGAGCAGCTGCTTCAAACCGAGTATCACGTCTACACACACGAATCAGGCAAAGAGCACGTCGGTGAGGCTCCCACATGTTATCGCTCGTTCAGTTATCTGACAGGACTCATAGCTTGCGACGCGTACCACGTCCCCGAGCACGTGAGCAAGCACGTCGACATCATCATGCCCTCCATCCATTTCGACGCCGTCATCAAGCGCGACGGCGCCTCCAGCCACACCCTGAGCAATATCGGCCAGCCTGGTGTCGGCCTGACGCCCAAGACCACCGGGACGATCTCGGATTTGTTGACCCAGTTGGAGAACTGTGACCAGCAGATCACGCCCATTTGCTTGCGGGCGCTGTACAACTTTGTTTACATACCGGTGGCAACCAGCAAGAACAGCTATGGTATCGGTATGTATATCAACCTCCCGGGTGTTTCCGAGTTGTGACTGAGGGAATCTCATTTGTATAGTTGAGTATACCCCCCAGGCGTACCTCCAGTCTGACCTGGATATGTTCTTCACAAATTTTTCGAAGGGTCAAGTCGGTCAGTCCCCGAAGGTAGTGTCCATCGACGGAGGTAAGCCACGCCTTCCACTCTCCGCGCGCGCACGCGCGTTCTGACTCTTCTCTGCGTGGTCAGGCTACGCACAGACGGAGTACACCGGCTTTGGCTACAACGGCGAGAGCGACCTCGACCTGCAATATGGCATGGCGCTCGTGAACCCGCAGCCCGTCACCCTCTACCAGACCGGCGACATGGTCGAAGGTGCCCCTTGCCCTCCTACATATACACCATTGACTCACGATTCATCCACAGGTGCCTCCTTCAACAACTTCCTCGACGCGATCGACGGCTCGTACTGCACCTTCGAGGGCGGCGACGACCCGTACAACGACGCGACGTACCCGGACCCGTACGGCGGGTACGAGGGCCCTGAGGACTGCGGCACCACGAAGCCCGCGTATGTGATCTCGACGTCATACGCGTATAACGAGGCGGACCTGTCGCCCGCGTACGCGGCGCGCCAGTGCGCGGAGTACGCGAAGCTCGGGCTGATGGGCACGACGGTGCTGTATAGTTCGGGGGATAACGGTGTTGCGGGGAACAGCGGGGTGTGTCTGAACGCTGATGGTGCGTGTCTGCGCCGCGTCCGCGTTCGAGTTCGTATTGGGGCCAAACGAGGTGGTCTGTGATTTAGGTACGCAATCGTCGAGCGCGACGGGCTTCAACCCCTCGTTCCCCGGGACGTGCCCGTACATCACGTCGGTCGGCGCGACCCAGGTCGTCGCGGGGCACAGCGTGTACCAGCCCGAGTCCGCGTGCATGGAGGTCATCTACTCCGGCGGCGGGTTCAGCAACTACTTCGCCATGCCGTCCTACCAGCAGAGCGCGGTGCAGCACTACCTGGCGGCGTACCCGCCGCCGTACTCCGCCAGCCAGTACAACGCCACCGGCAAGGTACGTTCCCCGCCACGCGTTGCTTCGCGGTGATTTGTTGACTGTCTCTGTCAGTCGAGGGCGTTCCCGGATCTGTCCGCGAACGGCGCGAACTACGTCGTGGCCGTCGACGGCCAGTTCGAGCTCGTGTTCGGCACGAGCGCGTCGTCGCCCGTCATGGGCGCCATCCTGACCGCGATCAACGACGCCCGGCTGGCGCTCGGCAAGGGCCCCATCGGGTTCATCAACCCCACCGTACGTCCGTCGTTCCTGCTCGCCCGTCGTCGAGTATTGACCGTGCTGGTGCCGCCCAGATCTACTCCGCGGGCTTCACTGGCGCGTTCAACGACATCACGAACGGGACGAACCCCGGGTGCGGCACGCCCGGGTTCAGCGCGGAGCCCGGCTGGGATCCCGTTACTGGTCTCGGGACCCCCAATTTCGCGAAGTTGCTCGCGCGCTGGTTGCTCTTGCCATGATTGAATCGTGGAGGCGTGGACGTGGACTGTGTTGGTGTAGTGCTTGCTGGACTGGACAGTTATCTGATTATCACTTATCTTGTACTTCGCATGGATACCGGAGAATGGCAGAAAGCATGCTGCGTCGTATTTGACGAGATTGGGCTTGTCTTATCCTCAAGCCGACACGCAAAGGCTGCTTGCTATGCTACGAACTTACCATACCTCGGAAGTGGTGGGATTCGTATACTCTCAGAAGGCACAGCGCCACAGATACAAAATATTAATGAGGCGATCGGTAACGCTGTTTGCCACCCGTCGAGGAGCGTCGAAGATGAGCTCGGAACAATATCACGATGTACAAGTGTGTAGTAATATTCATCATGCTTCTGGAGTTCAGTTGGGTGAACTCACTGGACCAGCAGCTGCAGAATGGAAGTATTGTACTGCTTCGTACTGACCCATCCCACTTATCCTCTACTGATTCAGGATCCGTTATGTCAGCGGCGTTCTGCCATTCGCCAGCTGCCATGACGTAGGGAGCCCGATCGGCTGAGCTGCGAACATTGTGGCTGACGCGACGCCTGTCTCCCCAGTCCACATTCCAAGCATCTATCCTCCTGCCGCTCAGCCGCCAAGACTCGAAACTCCGACGCCAGCCGCCCTCTGGTCAGCATATAAACCGCCCTCGAACGCTGAACGTTCTCATCACACCCTCTTTCCCTCTCATCTCCGGCCCTTACAATCCGAGGACTAGATCTCATCCACTAGTTATAGGCGAGTGCTCGTACTGGCTTTGTACTTATATACTTCATGACTTACACATACCCTATCTAGCGAAGCACTTACTGCTCGACCCTCGCAGCTGAGACTCACCCGTATCATGGCTATACCTCCAAGGCAAGTGCAGTCCTCCTCTCCAACCCCACCCGCGCCGTCTCCTAGCAAGCTTCGGCCTCAAGCTCGCAGAAGATAGCCCCGTAATTTACCGAACCTTGTGAGACGTGGGCTAGCAACGGTGCCATCGAGTCGCTCTGGGCCGCTTGCGATGCCGTCCTGAAGGCGCCGGTTGGGGCTGGCGACCCTCAAGTTGCATCGAAGACGTTCGCACACAAGCGACCCCGTAATTTACCGAACCTGCAGAGACGTGGGCTAGCGGCAGTACCATCGAGTCGCTCTGGGCTGTCCGCATAAGCCGTCCTGTGGGCGCCGGTTGGGGTCAGCGATCCTCAAGCCCAAGGACCACGATGGAGCGCGCGGGTGGCTGACAAGTCTTGGGGAGTCGAATGGTGGCTGACACTTGCTCTAGGCTTGGGCAGGTTATCAATGTAATGGAAGTCGGGCCTTGATTCTCGAGCCCCCAGGGGTGGTATGTCTCAACCAAGGCAAGTTCAGTCTAGGCGAGTCGAATAATAGCTGACACTTGTTGAAGTCTATAGGCTGAAAATCAGCCTCCAGATCTCAAACCTCCGGCGTTGGCCTTTCTCACAGCAGGCAAGTGCAGTCTACTTTTCCGTTGCCGCATGCATCGCCCTTAAAGGGGGAGGTCGAGCGTCCGACCTGCTTGATAAACCGACTAGCCGCCCTGAAGAGCCTCGTGAGACAAGGGCTAGCGGCGGTGCCATCGAGTCACGCGGGCCCTGGGCCCCTCGCTATGTCGTCCTGGAGTGCGGGAAAAGCTGGAGGCATTCGAGTTGATGTTCACCCTGGAGTGACGCCGGGTGGTGGCATATCTTCGAAGCTGGATGGTGGCTGACACTTGCTTTCAGCATTTGCAGGTCGTTCAATATCCCGTGGAACTTGCTCACGTACGTCTTTGTGTCGACATGTCTACCGAGTTACAGGCAAGTGCAGCCCTTCTCGAGCCCGACTCCCCGCCCGCCTCTTTCTTCGAGCCAGTGTTCCCTTATCTGCGAAGGGCACGGGTGACGCCGCTCCTTCCGCCGCCAAGTCTCCATTACAGAATCGCTGAAGACGTCCCGTTAAGTCCACTTCTACTTACGTAGGAAGGTAACGGGGAGCGCCGTCCCTTCCAGTGCTATACTTCTTCCTTATCCCGCTCTGCCGGTACCTAGAATATCGTGCGGCGTCTGCTGAACCTCGTCATCCCATATTTCCCCTCGTCCCCTCTCGCCTCGCTTTCATCCACTAGTTCTCGAAAGCTATCACACTCTGAGGACCAGCGCTCATCCACTGATAGTAAGTGAGTGCTTACGCTCGCTTCCTACGCCTCGACTCTCATCACATATACTGTTTTCAGCCTCTTACTCGGACGCCTCGCTCGTACAACGACTTTCGTCTCTAGGGCAAGTGCAGACCTCCTCTCCCATGCCACCCGCACCACCTCCCGTCCAGTCTCGACCTTGAGCTTGCTGAACACACCCTGTAATTCACCGAACCTTCCGAGACGCAGGCTAGTGGCAGTACCATCGAGTGGCTCTGGGCTGCGCTCCGAAGACGCCGGTTGGGGTTGGCGTTCCTTGGTCTCAAGGTCTTACCGGATTCGGAGGCGGGCGGGTGGCGGGAACAGGTGGAGAGTCGAATGGTGGCTGACACTTGCTTTCAGCTTTCGCAGGTCGGCCGACGTCTATGTCTCCGAACAACAGAAGTCGGAGATGCCCACCAGCTTCCAAGGCCCTCCTCGAGTCTCCTAACTTACTGACAAGCGCAGTCTTTCTTCTTCGAGGCCCACCCTTGCCGCCTGTCCCGCCATCAAGTCTCGATTCCACGCCCGCGCTGCCTCCCCCCGTCGGCCCTCGATCTCAAGCCCCCAAGAGACGCCCCATAACTGCCACTTCTCGAGCCCGGCAGCACCATTGATCTGGACTGCTCCCATAAACTGACCTGAAGCCGCGATCCTCGAGCCGACATGCACTCACCTGGGAAGGGGCCGGGTAATGCCCCCTCTTCTGCCGTCATGGCCCGTTCTCAAGCCCGCAGAAGTCTGGAGCGATGCTGCAACTATGAAAATCAAGCCAGGTTCACTCACTTCACTGGCGACGGGCCGGGTGGAGGCGACAGTCAAATGTTAAACAGTGGCTGACACTTGCTTTCAGCGTTCGTTCATATTTCAAGTCCTTCCAGTCGAAGTCTGCGACAGCCTCTAGTCTATGGTTGAAGTGGGGGACAAGTTTCCCTCTTCGTATGCTTCGCGGTGATATAATCAGATCGACTCGCACTTCTGTCTTTCGCAGATCGGTCAATATCTGAATGTCCACGGTGGAACTCTACCTGCAAGCCCTCAAAGACCTCCTTTCTATCGCGTTATAGGCAAGTGCAGCCTCTTATTGGAGCCCCACCCGCGCCCCCCCTTTGCTCGTCAACTCACAATCACCAGTTCGCGCACGACTTCTGAAACCCGTGACCTTCCGTGACACCTGCTAGCGACTGTTCCATTAGTCTGGGCTGCTCCCATGGACCCTCACCTCGCTTCTGAACCGCCGCGAGGCATGCGGTCCTCAAGACAACACTCAACATTGACTCGCCTAGGAAGGTGCTGGGTAGTGCCGTCTCTTCACCATCAAGTCCCGTTCTTAAGCTCATCCGGCAATTTCAAACTTCAGACCGAATTTTCAATTGGGAACTGGCCGGGTGGAGGCGACTCCCGACTATCGATCCCTTGAACTGATTTTTCCATATGCCTACTGGTAATAAGTCGATACGGCTAACCGAACTTGTTGTAGGCGCTCCTTCGCGGTTCGTGGAATCGTTGTGTCAACTCAGTTCAAACGGCCGGCGTGAACTTCGGATACGCGGGTCAGACTGTGGTGTCAACGAGAGAAGCCCTTGACGACCGTGACTCCGCGCAAGCCGCCTTGTAACGTAGAAGGGGAGGGCCCGCGATCTGGCACTCAATCCTGTTGGACAGTGGAGGTGAGCTTCGGAAGTCGAGCGGTGGCTGACGCTTACTTTCAGTCGCAGATGGGGTTATACTGGGGTTCTTTCTGCTCTTGACTGGAATGTCCGGTTATCGTGAAAGGTAAGTTGACGCTGTCATAGTGCTACGCTTTCCGCTCATGTTACACGACGGGGATCGACAGTTGTTCCGGTCGATTCATGGTCGAGTCGGTTGAGACCCGCTTGTGGACAGCAGAAACTGTCTCAGAAGCATCACGAAGTCGAGCTATCCAATTCCGTTAGCGTCGCCGAAATATGCCCAGCTTCAGGTAAGTGCAGTATTGGGGGAGTTACCTCGGTGGTCGTGGTACCGGTACGAACGGTTGTTTGTGGAAGTTGCCTATTCCGGTAATCAGTTGTTCGCCTGATGGCACTGTCAGTGCCCCACCACTTAGCGATCTAACCACTCAGTACTCATCGCCCCCCGTCACCACAAACTGGCAAACGTATGCAGAACTGAGTTCCAGAGAAGTTACGAGAAGTAATTTACATTCCTTACTCGTCAACAGGACACAGGGGTACTTACTTTGAACTGTGCGAGTCGATCAACCCAGTTAGTTCCTTGAATGAATTCACGATATCAAGGTAGGCCTTGCGGGGATTAAATTTCTGCACATACCAGCATGCCCGCACCCAACCGATTCCTGGAGTATATCGGCGCTCATGCCGGTAGGTTCATCGAGCGTCTTGCAGATGCCGTCGCTTTTCCCAGGTGAAGGACGTCTTCGTGTGCTCTTTGTGACCCACAGCTCATCGGACGATTTGATGGAAGTGTAAGCGCAGAGGCCGCTTTTCGGACAGACGTCATCAGGATGGCACACTATCTCGAGGATCAACTCAAGTCTTTGGGCGTTAGGACCAAGCTCGTCGACTTAGGGAAGCATGTGCTGGATGGCGAGGAACTCCCGCTTCCGCCTGTGATCCTTGGCAGCACCGGTGACGATCCCAAAAAGAAGACCATATTGATTTATGGCCACTATGATGTGCAGCCTGTATGTATAACAGTTTTCATATTTTTTGCCGCCCTCGAGCACCGTATCATTTGTTAGGCGTGCAAAAACGATGGCTGGGGTACTGAGCCATTCAAGCTCGTCGTGGACTCCGAGACAGGCCGACTCATCGGTAGAGGATCCACAGACGACAAGGGCGCGATACTAGGCTGGTTGAACGTTCTAGAGGCCCACAAATCGCTCGGTCTCGAACTCCCCGTCAACCTCCGCTTTTGTTTTGAGGGTATGGAGGAGGTCGGGAGTGACGGCCTCGACGACTTGATCAGGAACGAGGTGAAGAAGGGTAAGGAGAGCTGGTTCTACGGTGTGGACTGCGTCTGTATTGTAAGAACCCGCAAAGCAACTCCGGTCAACGTCAGTGCTCACTCCAGTCACCTCCAGTCAGACAATTACTGGCTCAATACACGTACCCCCTGCCTTACATACGGCTTGCGCGGGATCGCCTACTTTAAGATTACTGTCTCAGGTCCCGCGAGCGACCTACACTCTGGTGCGTTTGGTGGCATGGTACACGAACCGCTGATGGACCTCGTCGCGTTGATGGGCAAGCTGGCCTCGCCAGATGGGCAGATCCTCATACCTGGCGTGGCTGATATGGTCCCGCCTCCTGATGAGGAAGGGAAGTGTGCACATCATCTTCCCTTGTCAGTTTTCAGACCAGCGTTGAGCACATCACAGGAAACTATACGAGTCACTGGACTCTTCTGTCGCCGACGTCGAGGAAGCAGCTGGCGCGAAGATTACCAGGTCAGACGATAAAGTGCCCGTCCTGATGGCCCGCATGCGTAACCCTTCTCTGTCGTTGCATGCTATTGAGGGTGCACTGGGCGCAAGGACAACCATCCCTGCTACAGTGACCGGCAAGTTCAGTCTCCGGTATGTGTTTGGTGGTATCTCAAGAACGTAACTCACCTGGACTACTCGGATCAGCTTAGTTCCTCCGCAGACACCGGAGAGTGTTATTCCCTTGGTGCTCGAGCACCTCTATTCCGAGTTCGCCAAGCTGAACAGCAAGAATAAGCTGCTCGTGGAGCGTGGGGGTGACGGGAGGCCCTGGATGGACCACCAGCATTGGAATTACCAAGCTGCTATAAAAGCTTCGGAGGTACATCATTCATAGACGCTCTGGCCGGTCGAGGCTAACGGGTGTATAGGCGGTGTACAAGAGGCGGCCGGACTTGACTCGCGAGGGCGGGTCCATCCCGGTTACGCTTACCTTTGCGGAGAGTCTCGGGGTGAATGTCCTCCTGCTCCCCATGGGAAGGGGAGACGATGGCGCTCAGTACGCCCTCTCACGATGTCAGATGAATGTTGCGGTTCTTATCTACATCTTAGGTTCTACGAACGAGAAGTTGGATCGCAGCAACTTCATCGAAGGCGTACGTCCGTCACTCCCTTTGTATTTCCTGTCAATCTCACGCGTACGTTCAATGATGCTTCGCGTTACTGATAAGAGCAAACTCATGGGCACCTATTTATACGAAGTTGCCGCAATTTCGGTGTGAGTCTTTGGCGGGGATCTCTGTCAAAATGATAAGGTAGGTTTAAATGCGAAAGTAGAAGGAAGTTTTTGGATATTTGTCTGTTTTTCTTCTAAGTCGAGGACACTACAATGGGGTGCCCTGTGTAAATGCGCATCTGTCTCGGAATTAGCCAGTAGGTATAGGGATTGTATACTACCCCTACAGATTCAACAATAGCTATGCCACCTTACATGTTGATCATGCCAGTTGAACCGGGGTCTCCATGATCATGCCCTGTGAACCCGGTGCTCAGCGCTCAGCCACAGCTATCTTGCCACCTACGGAGTCGACTCTTCAGTCCGAAATATACAACGTGAACTAGCAGCTATCTATCCAATCTTGAAAACGATGACTAGCACTGCGATATCTCCCGAAGAACAAGAGAATGTCGAATTTCTGACGAGTATGATGGCGCCTGGCGACGTCGACGCTGAGGTTGCCCGACGCCTTCTACTCAAACATGGCAATGATATCCAGAAGGCGGCGTACGCGATGCTGGAGGGAGATAGGGCAGAGGAATATCAGGCTGGGCCGCGCTCACCACCCCGTGAATATCGGTGTATGTGCGGCTTCTACGAGGTGCTCACTGACTCTCCCAGCATCCAAGCCGGAGAAAGATGTGATTGACTTAACGGCGGATGAAGAATCGGAAATGGAGGCTGCTATCAAGATGTCAATGGAAGCCGACCTGAGGCAGCACCAGCAGCAGTTTGGGCCGAGCAATCGAGCGCCTGATCCCAACTGGGCTATGGTTGCGTCTAACGTATGGTACCGCATCTCTTCGTCAAAGCCTGCTCCCAATGATTTCTTCCACAGAAACCAGCGGAGACGAACGCTTTGTCACAAGATGATCAAACCCTCAGCCGAGCTATTGAAGAGAGTTTGGCGACCAGCTATAGTCGGTTCGAGAAGGAGGAGTTTTACGAACGGCCGATGGAGGAACAGGTCCGGAAGGATAAACGGTATGGCATTACTCATATGGCTCTGCGCTGCATCTTATTCTGCGTAGGCCTATTGCACTGCGACCGACCCAAGCTACTCTACATTATGCTGGTCTGGTCCTGCAAGCACTCTACAGTGTGCCCCAAGTGAGGGAAAGCATCGCGAACTGGAGGCCAACTCCTCCGGCATCTGCAACAGCAGACGAGTTCATGATTATCGAACCCCCGAAGTCGGGTCCAGGTAAGCCTGCGTCGCAGTACCTCTGAAAGCCAATTGATTTCAGCTCTTAGAATCCTTGATGTATGGCATTCTTGAGGTGTTCGCAAATATGGAGTTTGCGCTCCTTTCCGAGCTGAGCGTAGACCCCATTCTGCAAGAATTTGGGACACAACCTGCAAGTGCTGCGGATAATTTTGGTGATCTGACAGAACGTGAGTATCTATGATGTTTCCTTGCGAAATTTGATCCTGATGGGATGGCATCAGAGTTTCTGGGTAAAGTGACATACACGGTTGAGACCATTCTGAACGGAGACTATGCGAACGCCTCATCCAAGTAGCTGGTTCTGTCACATCGACATCTCACTTCGCTGATCACCTATCCTCATAGGCGCCTTTTCCACTTTCAATACGGCACCCACGTTGACCCCAACTCCGCCGCGCACGTCCCGGACCTGCACGAAAAGGCGATAGTCCGGGTTGATATCCATGGCACCGAGCAGACGAACGACCTCGTCTCCTGCCTCCTATCCCAGTTCTCCCCATCGACGCCCTCCGGGACCCAGGAGGTGATATATCAGCCTTCCGACGTCGTCTCGTTCCACCTCGTCCGGCCGCCGCCACCCTATCCCGGCGTGAGCACCGAGGGATCCGCCAATGCGCGGACGGTGTTCAAATATCCGAAGCACTTCTACTTGGACCAGTTCTTGGAGGAGAACGCCGAGCTAGCGAAGGCAAAGACGGCGGAGCAGAAAGAAATCGAGCAGGAAGTCGTGAGACTTAGGACGGAGAAGAATGGGATTGTTAACTACAAGGTACAGAAAACATGGTAGGACCTCGTTGTCCGTCACTGACGGCACCTGGCGCGCCAGAACAAAGATGCGCTTAGTAACCTTGCAGCAGCGACACATTTCTACGAGCATGTTATCGACCGTGACACGCCTGAACAGCAGACGTATGCAGATATGATGGCCGAGAAGTTACACAAGGTGCAAGCCAATATCCAGGCGCACATCAAGTGTGAGTGTACGGCATTGTGTTCTGTCCGCGCACTAAACGCCGCTGTCGTTGTCATAGCTATTGAGGACAAGATGACGGAACTGAGAAGTCGCTCCGAGGCGCTCTTTGACGATCCGCAGTTGAAGAAGCATCGGGTCAGTGAGCTGTCTGCGTATATGACGCCTACTCATTCGCGGCTTAGTATGACCTCCGCGCTGTCTTAGTTAACGAAGGGCCCCTGGGTAGGAAGCATCTGTACTCGTACACCTATAATGCAGGAAAGTGGTGGAAGACTGTCGATTGGCTCGTAGAGGAGGTCCGCCGTCTGCATTGTACTGTTGTTCCTGCTGATCTGCGCTGACCTACTCTGACCTAGGTCTCTGAGGAGGTTGTCCTGAATGACCCTGCTGGCCTTCATTACGGCGCTGGCCCATACCTGTTACTGTACAGCCGAGCTCTCTCGGAGGAAGACGAGAAGACACTCAGCGAAAGGTTGCACTGGATGGAGACTGCACGGGTAGGCCCTACGCTTCCGCCGTACACCGGCCACTAAGCTACCTTCATGCAGGATGAGGTCTACGAGAATAACCGTGTCTTCGCTTCCCAACTTGCCGATAGCAATGTCCCACTGCCTGAAGAGGGCGAGTATTACTTGCGGCCTCCTTCTGCAGCAGCCTCGTCAACTTCAGTGGAGCCGCCAACGCCCAGAGGTGCTCTGACTCCTATGGATGAAAGTTAGCCATTGCATGATTCCTGTGTAGCATTCAGTCTCCATTTGTCACTGAATGGAGATAGAAGCATCTATGAACAGTTACAACTGATGTAATGCGGCACTTAAAATGGCCAGCCTATATTGGCTCCATCTCAAAATGATTCAGCTGACCTCCGAGTGTTACGGAGATATGTGTCGTCTTTATATTGAATATCATACTGATATCAGCTCTATGTGATCTAAGGTGCAGTGTTGTGTTAACAGCAATCTTTGAAATGATGCGGAATTGCCCCCTTCCCAAAATATGGCAAATCAGGAAGGTACCTATTTTGACATTGGGGCAGATTGGGCATCTTCACCACTTCGGGTGCCTGGTGTGGGGCGGACGTGGCACTTTGACACTAAAAGAAGTGAAATGTATCACTTACAGCTGTATTTCATGTGTGCTAGATTCTGCATTGTTTTGAAGATTGCTGTAGACATCTGCATCCAATACAAGGTCTACCTTTGGATTGTGATATACACATGCTGAAATAATGGCAGGACTGATTATGTGAACAATAAGCTAATGCTTACTTGGGCTTCTTGTGATCTGTCAGGCATATCATGATATGTAGCACCCCTTGATAGATGTTGCAGTCATTGTATGTTCATTTTATTAATATCTGAGAGATATAAAGTGTATGTCCACTTTGCTTCTGTCTGTGTGCTCCTTCAGATCATTCCTCTGGCTGACTGGGCATGGTCTATGCATCTGAGCAAGATGGTACTGAGCTTCTTTGGAGGAATGTGACAAGTGGAATTTCTGGCAGTGGGTCATCAGCCCATGTGGTTATCAGGATCTCCCTGAAGTTTGGTAAACAGAGGTTGCACTCACCATCTACGTCCATCACTTTGGTATGTCTCATTCCAAGCTGTCTGAACCCTTGACAATGGGTCACATCATTCAGTCTCCACTATCCCATCCGAGGTAAATTTCAAAAGACACCAATGTGATTGGAGCTGAACATGGCCCATAGGTTGAGTTCATATGGGTCAGTCAGACAGTCACAATTCTCTAACAAATACATGACCATATGCCAGAGACTGCCAAGGAAATCAATGAAGATATTATATCTGATTGTGATGTATTCCATCCTTCTTTGCATATTGTGTTCTTGACCTTTGAGGTCCTCAGAATCGTTATACTGGACTAGTGATAGTGGTGCTCGATGCAATATGTGGGTACCAGCTGGAATGCATATATTGAGTCAAAATATCTCATATTGATCTCTAGTACAATCAAATATGTATGCATACCCCGGTCTCAAAATTTTCGGCTAAACAACTGACAGTCCTCCAGATCATGTGCATGGCTTCTGCATATGCATGATTTTCAATGCAACTGACTCACCACTTTTGGTTAGGTGGTCATTATACACTATTTCATGTAGCTTCCAGTAAGTAGTTGATTTTGCTGGTGATAGTCTATCCATATCGACCCTCTCAGTGGCCCTTTTATTTGGGACTGTCCAAGGTGAGTGTTCTTTACATAATATTATGGTAAACAGAGGCTTTACACTACTTTATGTGCTCTGTAGCCATTTTGATGGTCCGACTGTATGTTATTCTGGGAAACAGTAACTAACCTTCCAGCTGTTCTGTAGTGACAGACTGATGCATACAAATAGAGCAGAAATATGCCCTCCCCATGGCAGCATCCTTCCTTGTAGAATGTGGGGCTGCAACCACTATATCTATCCTACATGGGAAGACCACATATGTCACTCTTGGGAGTATCACTCTCTGTCAAAGTGAGATAGGACTCATTCTGTGAATACATTTTATCAAGCTGTCTTCAGTGAGATTCACTAATCAAAACAGTCTGCCAGCCATAATCTTTGACAGTGCAATGGCATTGCTTATCATTTACAGAGCAGTCCTCCATGCCAGAAGGTGCCAACATATGGGCCTTCCAGTATCCTGGGGCTATGGTGGACACCTGTTCATTGCATTGGCAAAGGATTCTCTTCAGTATTACTTCTGGTATGCTTGGTGTGTTCAGTGAATCCATTGACAAAAATCTAACAAGCTAGTTAGTATTATTACCATAATGGTGCTTGGACTCCTTGTATACACCACCCCACCTACCATCACCATGACCCAAATGTCTGCCATCCTTACACCTTGGATATTGGTTATCCCCACTATTTCAGCAACACATATGGTCTTGCACTTGCACCACTTGGCACACCACAGTTCTGTTCCCATACAAATGATCCAACAGTAGTGGTACTTGCCTCTCTAGAAACAGTCTCAAACAGATTGCATCTCATTCCTTCGACATCCCCAGTTAGGAGTCTTCACAGACAGTTCTGTACATAGGATGATAGGTCCCTATCTAGGATATACCAGTGTTCTTTTCTCACCCATAGAGCCTGCTCATGAGGTTTGCCCCTCCCTTGGGAGTTCTGGCAGAGTGTGTTGCACTTTTGGTCACATCAGCAACTCTTGGCATGTCATGTTTGGATCAAGTGGCATAATTACTGGATGAGGACTTCACCTTGGGTCCATCTTGATGTCCAGATCCGAGTCCCTCGCAGTGAGCCAGTAGTGATGTCAGTTTGTGGATGCCAAAAGATATGGGTGATGGGTAACTGTGAGCCACAATGTGGAATACTGTGGGGTTGGATCCAGCAACACTGGCACTGGTCACACAAAGGAGAAGTAGACCATGCTATCATATCCCAGAGACAAGAGATACAGTGATATGCACAGACACACAACAATCGCCAAGGACCAAAAGAAATAAACCTAAACCCCGTGATATGGGTGAAGGCGGTCCGAGACAACTGAAGGGTATTTAATAGTTCGAGGGGGAAAGGAGGAGTAAGATGCCATAGGGTAGTCCGTAGGAAGACCTAGAAAAATAAAGCAAAAACCTTGATGCCTGAAACAAACACTAATGGACGCTTCGGAGTATTTATCTCCGGAAAGTCGCAAACAAAGTTGCAAACCACGGAACCGAGTATAGGTTCGGGCCCACGGGAGTAGGAAACGCTAGAAAGACTTGTTTAATTTTATCTCGCTATGCGAGACTCACCGGAGCTAATTGAATCGATGGCGGAGATAATTCACTCGACGAGTCAGGCTTATTGGCAAAGCTAGGATCGGTTATAATTCGCTAAGTTCGACGCTTTCGAACTTCTCGGGTCGCTGAGATTGTAACGCTAATTCTCTGAGATGGTGAAGTCAAAACTTGTTTTTCTGTACACTACTTTGTAGAATTTATACTACAGGAATGGCTTTGCGACCGTCCGGAGATAAATAACAAATAACCGCCGCTACCCACAGGATTGCTCAGCACTTGCCGCCGCTATACCATGCACCATACGACTCTCTTGCACTCCCACTTGCTTGTCCCAGCCCCTAGAGGTCGCCTCGACGCCCCGCCATCTGCCCTAAGCGGTCCCATCACTCCGCGTGATGCGCCGGTGTCAGACTAGGAGATCGTTCGAATGCCAAACTAAGCTGTCGCTGCGCGCTGAACGTATCCCTTCCAGGCCTGAACTGTACCACAAGTACCAGCTTCAAGCCACTACATTTGGAATATACAGATCGGTAATGGAAGGTTTGGTGGACAGTATCTTCAATAACTGGCTGGGAATCGACAATGAAGACATAT